AGCCGTGATGCAGACCTGGCTCCCACCGCCGCACAGCAGCACCGAGCCGGGCACAGCAGCACCGAGCCGGGCACAGCAACACCGGGCACAACAACACAGGGCACAGCAGCACCGAGCCGGGCACAGCAACACTGGGCACAGCAACACTGGGCACAGCAACACTGGGCACAGCAACACTGGGCACAGCAGCACCGAGCCGGGCACAGCAACACCGGGCACAACAACACAGGGCACAGCAGCACCGAGCGAGGCACAGCAACACTGGGCACAACAACACTGGGCACAGCAGCACCGGGCACAGCAACACTGGGCACAGCAGCACCGAGCTAGGCACAGCAACACTGGGCACAACAACACCGTGCACAGCAGCACAGAACTAGGCACAGCAGCACCAGGCTGGGCACAGCAGCACCGGGCACAACAACAGCGAGCTCAGCAGCACTGAGCACAGCAGCACCGAGCCAGGCACAGCAGCACCAGGCACAGCAGCACAGGGCACAGCAGCACCGGGCACAGCAGCACAGGGCACAGCAGCACAGGGCACAGCAGCACCGAGCCAGGCACAGCAGCACCAGGCACAGCAGCATAGGGCACAGCAGCACAGGGCACAGCAGCACCGGGCACAGCAGCACAGGGCCGGGCACAGCCGGGCCATCACCACACCGCCCCGCTGTGCCTGCAGCCGCCCCCTGCTCGGCTCCTGCAGCACCGCCAGCTGCCAGCAGCAGCACCGGGCCGCCAGCGCCACTGCAGCCGCACTCCTTGCACCTGAGCGGGCCTCGTGTCCAGGAATGGCCGCACAGCAGGCGAGAGGACCGGCTGTGCGGGAGCCTCAGCTCCATCCCGATGCTCCGGGCGGAGCAGGGACGCGACGCGGCGCGGACGCTCGGTCAGCTCCGTGCCGCGGCTCCAGCCCCCGGCCGGCCGGCGAGCAGCAAATCGCCGCGAGACCGCAGCGTTTCTCGCGTCGTTCCGTCCCCGTGCGGCGCAGCTCCGCGCCACGAGTTTCCTCTCCCCTCGCTTCCGAGCGCAGCCCAGCTCTGCAGCGCGCACGGAGCGGCGCTCGGCCCGGCAGCCGAGCGGGGACCGAGCGCACGGGAAGGCGCCGGGCGCCTGCAGGCGGGCTCCCGGCCGCTCGGCTCTCGCTGTTCCCTTTGTTTTCCCCGCTCGGAGCACAGAACCCGGCAGGCCCTCGGACGGCCGCGCTGGCGCCCAGCCCTGCAGCTCCGCGCAGAGCCGACAGACGATCGTCGGCTGCGACGGAGCCGCGCGGCTCGGCGCCCGGGCGGCACCGGCGGCGCGGCTCTGCGCTCCTGCGGGGCCGAGCCCCGAGTTCCCCCCCGGGCCAGAACCGCACGGAAGGCTCAGAAGGCCCAAGCGCACCCGTCTGCGCATTCGCTGCGCAGCGCTAAATCTAATTTGTTCTTTTTACTGTCACAGGAAGCACATGTTTGCAGCAATCTGTTTCCTCGTACGAACGCTTTCCTGTCTGTTTGAAAAAAACGGCAACACACTTTACCCCGAGTAACCAAGAGGTGATCATAAATATCCCTAAATAGCATTAAACAGATATGAAAGACATTAACACTTCCAGAATGCCAAAGTAGTATTAAAAAAAAATTCTAACAGATGCTCCTAGGTCAAAAAGCGAAATGTGTGTTTCCTGAAAAAAACACTCTCATCAGAATCATAAATGAACTGTGAGCGGAGGAGCGAGGTGCTGCGGAGCCGAGGCAGGATCTCGTGCTGCGGGCTGCGGTGCGCTGCTGCAGACAAAGAGCCGCAGCGCTGCTCACGGCCGCGCCGCTCCGCATCCGCACGGCGCCACGCCACGACCCAGCCCACGCCACGACCCGGCCCACGCCACGCCGAGCCCACCGAGCCCACCGCCCACCAAACCCGCTGCGCCCACCGCCCAGCTGCCACCCAGCGCACCGAGCCCACGCCCCGCCGCTCTGGGCTGCGCGCGCGTGGCAGGGAAAGGTGCCCTCGCCTGGAAGCGGGCACACCACGCATCCTGCATGAAAACCTCGCCTGCGGCACCCAAGTCAGCCCAGCCCGACCTGCTGCGGATGCGGAGCCCCGTGGCGGGGCTGTGCGGGCACCTGGGCCGCTCTGCTCTCCTGTTTCCCAGGAACGAAACACCGAAGCGCTGCCCTCGCCGGCCCACCCCAACCTCCTCAGAGTGCACGGGGCGCCCCGGACCCCCGTGGCAGCCCGCACTGCGGCCCTGACCCCACGTAACCGCCGTGCCCCCTCCCCGTGCCCCCTCCACGCGTCCCCTCTGCTGCCCCCGGGCGCCCCCCGGGTGCCCCCCGTCTCGGGTGCTGACCCCAACCCTTGCTGGGCCTGTCAAAACGCACGGCGGGGCCGTTGAAAACAAAACAACAATAAAAAAAAACAACCAGCCATTGTCGGCCGCCTGGTTTTGGTGCCAAGAAGCTGTCAGGGGAGCTTTGCTATGCATTTAACAATGTTAATAGTTATTGGAGCTCTTTATGCCATTTTTTTTCCCATGTTTTTTTTTTTTTTTTTTTTCTTTTTTTTTTTCTTGCACATTTGCCGCTTCGGTGTAAAGGAAAAAAAGAAAAAACGGAAGAACTTCAGAGCAAAGCCTACAACGTTCCCTTGGCGAAGTGCAGAGGCCGGCCGGCCGACGCACGCCAGCCAAACGCCGCCGCCTCGCCCAGCCCAGCCGCCCCGCAGCCGCCCCGCGCGGCTCCCCCGCAGCCAACCCCGCGCCCGAGCAGCTCCACAGCGGGAGGAGAACTGGAAGCGGGGCGAGGAGCCAAGGCCGCCGCAGCCCCGGAGCCCCGGGCCGCGCTGCTGAGCGCCGCGCAGACGTGGCTCGACGGCTTCGGCCCGGCGGCGCCGGCGGGGAACGCGGAGCTGAGCGCGGGGCAGGGCGCCGAACACAGCCGTGCCCGGAGATGCGCGCACTTCTCATTCCCTGCGCCTCCTGCGAGCAGACGGCCCAGGGCATCAGAAGCGCTGGGCTCCACGTTCCCGAAGTCGGCCCAGCTTCCGAGTCGGACAGGGGACGCGGCCCCGCCAGGGAGCAGAGCGGAGGCTGGACGCGGCGCTGCGCTCGCTTTCACACCTCTCTGCCGAATCAAAGCACCTCCCCACGGCCCACCGGCCGCCGGCGCGCACCCCGCTCCGGGTTTTTCTCCTGCGGGAACCCGGCCCGCCTGCGGCCCGGCGCGGGCAACGCGGAGCCCCGCGAAAGGCCCAAATCGGCAGCGCGCGCCACGCCGGGCGCGGGGGGCGGACGCCGGCTGGTTTCCTGCCGGGAAGGGGCGCGGGGTGCCGCGGGGTCCCAGCCGCGCCGCCAGCCCCCGGCACCGGCCGCAGCGCGAGCAGCTCCCGCGGATCGGCCCGAAGCAGCGCGCGGGGCTGCCTTTCGCTGCGCCCTTTCCGCAGCGCCCAGAAATCATCCGGACTCGTTGGCCAAAGCGCTACGGCCACGGGGAAGCGATGCCTTCTGCACTACCCGCAGCGCTCTGAAGAGGGAGTCTATGCTCAAGCTAAACGAAGCCGACACCCAAAGCTCCGCCGGCACCGCCGAGCGGGACGGGGCCGCGCACGGTTGGCACCGGCGGTTCCGAGCGCGGCGAGGTGCGCGCATGGAGCGGCAGCGCTCCGCAGCCGAGCCGGCAGGAACGCAGCGCGTGTCGCTCCCGGGCAGGGACCCCGAGCAAGGTGTCACTGACCGCAAGCCCAGCATCTGCGGCCCGCGTTTCCACCGCATTCGCACCTGCTCAAGACCAGCGGCAGCAACGCAGAGCTCTGCCCGCACCGCCGGGCAATTCGGGCAGCTCGTCACAGCCCCCGCAACCCATCCCCGCTGCCTGGCAGATTCCATTCCCCTGGCTCGACTTACTTTACCACGTGCCAAAGATGCACTTCCCAAGCTTTATTTGTTTTTAAAACAAAAATCAGAGCTCGGTCATAACTGGAAACGGCCCGGTGGAGCTGTGCTGGGCGCTGACTTTAAGGTGAACCAGACCAGACCGCAGCCAGCGGGGATTCGCTCGGCTGCGCTCCGGGGCAGAGGCGGCACCGGGCGGCTGCACGGCACGGAATGGCTGCGCCACTGCAGGATGAGCGAGCCCGGGCGCGGGGCAGGCCGCTGAGCCCTCCCCCTCTGCCCTTCCTCCCAGCTGTCGGAAGCCATGGAATCGCACAGAAATACTGCAGTGCAACTGCTCAGATTGGCTCCTGCTGCCTCCTCCAGCAGCCTCCTCTCCCCGAGCTGCCAGCCTGGACCCGCGCGACCCGGCCCCATTTTGACCCACGGACTGAAAGACCTCCACCCCGGGGGCCCGGGGGCGTGCAGGGATGCAGGGAAAGTCAAGGGTGCCAAATCTGTTCTGGAAACCTCCTGAGAAGTCGGGCGTTTGAAGGGAACGCCCCACGGCTGCGTCCTTTAAAGCCGAGGCAGGGAGGCTGCAAAGCCTGCGCAGGCGGCACAAAGGGTGCTTCCTCCGCTCCCAGCACCAAGGCGTCTCCTGTCAGAAAGCTCCAGGTGGCACCCCAGCAGTGTTTCTCCTCTCTTGGTTCCTGGAACCAAGCAGGTGTTTCCTTAGGATCTACAACTGAGTCGTGCACTTCCTTATCTGCCTGGCTAGCAAGGTCAAAGCTGGCACGGCTGTAAATGCAGGCAGTGGCAAGTGCAAATAGATGTCTCCCGCCTAGGAGGGGACACCTTGAACGAAGATGAAAGAGAGAAGAGAGGCTTCTGCCATTACAGCTAAGGCTCGGGAGATTTTACCTTCTGATTCTTCCAGAAAAGCAATGAGGGGAGCTGCGCAAGGGAGGGGACAGGCTCTTCAGCAGGGTCTGTGGTAAAAGGACAAGGGGCCCCAAACTGAAGGAGGGGAGATTTAGGCTGTACATCAGGAAGAAGTCTTTTACAGCGAGGGCGCTGAGGCACTGGCACAGGTTGCTTAGGGATGTGGTGGTGCCCCATCCCTGCAGGCTTTCGGGGCCGGGCTGGATGTGGCTCTGGGCAGCCTGGGCTGGTGGCTGTGGCCCTGCACACAGCAGGGGGTTGGAAGTGGGTGAGCACTGTGGTTCTTTGCAACCCAGGCATCCTGTGATTCTACGACTCTCCAGACAGAGCTAAGGTGAGGAGGGAAGATGAGCAGCCTTACCCCAGAGCCTTTGAACTCAATGCACAGCTGCGGGTGGCCTGCAGCAATAATGCAAAGAGGGCTGCGCTTCCCAAAGCAGGCGCATTCATACACTGAGAAACAAGCTAGAGCAACTCACACACTGCCACGTGCTGGACTCCAAAAGGAAAAGTTACCCTAACAGCCTAAAAGCTGTGAGCTCAGTGCTGCCTTAGCTCTGCTGTTAGCAGGAGCGATGAAGTCGGGAGACAGCAAAGCCTGGGGCTCATGACTGCAACCCCCAGCCCGGGGCACGCGGTCGTATCGCAGAGATCCCTGGGACACAGCTGTGGAAAAGAAGAGCACCTCTCCACGGGCAGGGTGGGATGCAGGCAGCTCCAGTCACAGTCAAAAAGGAGTCCAAGGAGGAGTGGAAATGAATGCAGTGCACCACAGTGACTGCATGGGGTGGCACCACAGCAAAAGAAGGAGGGCTGAAGATGGAGGAAATGCAGGAGCTGAGCTGCACTCAGTCACACCACTGAAAGCCTGGTCCCGAAAAGGAGTACCTGGAGATGAACAGAGATGATCAAAGGGCTGGAGCACCTCCCCTGTAAGGACAGACTGAGAGAGCCGGGGCTCTGCAGCCTAAAGAGGAGAAGGCTCTGGGAGGACCTGAAGGGGACTACAGGAAAGCTGGGGAGGGACTTTTTTAAGGGCAGATAGCGACAGGGTGAGGGGAAATGGCCCTAAGCTGTCAGAGGGAAGATGTAGCCTAGATATTAGGAAGAAATTCTTCACTGTGAGGGTGGTGAGACACTGGAGCAGGTTGCCCAATGAGGTTGTGAATGCCCCGTCCCTGGAAACGCTCAAGGCCAGGCTGGATGGGGCTGTGAGCAACCTGGTGTGGTGGGAGGCGTCTCTGCCTGTAGCTGGGGGCTGGAACTAGGGGATCTTGAAGGTACCTTCCAGTCCAAACCATTCTGTGACTCTGTGATTCCGTACAGCAACAAGGCTGCCACCCTGCCAGGCACTCGTTTCAGATGGACCGCTTCCAAGGGCCGTGCTCCAGAGACGGATTATTTCTGCTCCACAGGTGAGGTTAAGCCGGCTGAGCCGCACAGCGCTGCGAAAGCACTGTGAAAGGTCAGGTGTGAGTAAACCACCAGCAGCCAAGTGGAGGCTTCAGGTTACCGACCGGAACAACGGCAAAGCCTTCGGACGGAGTCAGAGGTGAGGACAGTCGTGCGGGACCGCACGCCGGGGACGGCAGCACCCACGTGGCACAGCACGCCTCTCCAGGCCGCGGCGCGGCTCCTCGCCGCCGCAGCTGCGTAGCCGTGCGGTGATGTCGGCTCCTGCCTGCGGGGCAGAAGCTCAGACGCCCGCAGCTTTGCTGCGCTGCGAACCCGTAGGCCAAACCTCCCCCGAAAGCAGGACTGCCGGCGTCACCGCCGCCCCCACCAGATGCTCCCGGCCGGCTGGGGACACAGAAAGCATCGCCGCGCCACGGCTCGGCACCCCAGGCTGGCCCTCGGGATCCAAACCGAGCTGCGGCAGCGGCCGCTTCTGCAGCACGGCCAGGCCTGTGCCTCACCTCCAGCTGGAGCGGCCGCAGCGCCCCAAACCTCCCCTCCTTTCTGCTGCCCGGCAGAGCTCTGCGTGCCGCTGCCCAGGAGGAGCAATGGGAGGCAATGGGAGGCAATGGGAGGCAATGGGAGGCAACGGGAGGCAATGGGAGGCAATGGGAGGCAATGGGAGGCAATGGGAGGCAATGGGAGGCAATGGGAGGCAATGGGCCGCGCGCGCCGCAGCTCCAGCTTCGGGGCCTCGCTGTTTGCAGAGCTGTGATTAGCTCTTAGTGTCATTTACTTTGTTTTCAAAACTCGCAGCCATTCCGTGCCGTTCAGGGGAGCCGATACGACGTATTTATTACCATTTATCATTGAAATTTTTATAAGACTACTTATGAATTAATCAACAATAACCGCTTTCACAAACGCTGCTGCATTAATCTCCATATCCGCCGCGTAAATCACACGGAGAACAAGTTAATATACATATTTTAAGAGAAATACAGCGGTAATTCCACCCTATCAACTCAGTGTATTATCATCGAGTTAGCCCATTTATAAATGCAAATACCTCCTCCAGCACCGCAGCCCCGTGTGACTCCACCAGCACAGCGCAGCCCGACCTGCCACACCGAGCACGCTCCTCCTGCCCGGCACCCCTGGGCTGCGCCCGGCTGTGCCGCACGGGCCCGCGGGCTCACGTCACCCGCTCACATCAGGGAGGCTCCGTCCCTTTCGGCACCACAGCGTCCTCGTGCTTGCACTGCTGGACGTGCGCCGACCGCTTCTGGAAAGCAGAGCCAGAACGTCCAGGCACACCTTCCTGTATCTCACCCGTTTCCATACGAACCGTGCGTGCCACTGAAGCAAACTCGCGGCTTTAAGGTGGATTTCTACTCGAGACACCCGGCTGCAAAGTGAGGACAGGCGGGCAGCGCCGAGCTGCGGCAGCGCGTCCGTCCTGCACCCAAAGCAAGCACACGCTGGGACCGAGGGGCACGAGCACAAACTGCCCTTCCTTCTTCTGCAGCAAGAAGCAACCCAGGAAAAACTCTTCCAGCAGCCTCAAAGCCCTGAGCTGACATCTCCAACGCTCACAGCACCAGGCTGACCCGCAGCCGGGGCACAGCGCGGTGCCACAGCAGCTTGGCAGCACAGACGCCGCGCCGCCAGGCCACCACCAGCCCTCCGCTCTGCTGGGGGCGGCCGGGGGCTCCTCCGCTTCGCCACAACTGAACCCGCAACCCAACTCCCGTAATGACCTCGGGGGGTGTGAGCTACTGCCGTACAGAGGCCCAATGCAAACCAGAACCACGAAGCACAGAGCAAAGCAGATTTAAAGCATGCATTTAAATCAACACCAAAACAGCGTCGCTATTTTACCAGAAACTTTGAGATTTTCCGTATTTCAGCAGCTGACAAAACAGATTTGCGTGGCACTGCCCGACGCAATAAAGCACACAGCACTCTGTGCAACTGAAACAGGCCCCCCGTGTCTGTCTGTGCCTGTCGGGCTGGAATCCCGCGGTACGCAGTGACCGCAGCCCCGCGCCGCCCGGAGCAGCAGCAGCGCTGTTGGCACTCCGCAAATTCGGTCGGATTTATGGCAAAAAACATAAAACCCGTCAGAGATTAATACGTCAATTTGTTACATATTCCACGCGATTGATTGCCACCCCGCTCCTCCCAACAATCAGATCTAAAGATAAAACAAACACGGCTATCGAGCGCCGAACGGACGTGCTCCTCGCGTCGGGGTTTGTTCTCTGTTTGCAGATACTGATGGGAAAACAGTGTTTTTTAAAGCTGTGGTGGAGAAAAAAATAGAAAAAGTACAAAAACGAAACGCAATACCGGAATGAAATGCGATCCCGGAATGAAATGCGAGGTTGGAATGAAATGCAGAGCGCTCCTTTATGTTCTACTTATTGAAACAGCCCACCGCTTCTTTTAAAATTACTGTTTTATGTACATTTCACCAGATCTCGGTGTAACTGCTCTCCAAAGGCACACTGTACCTTGGAACAGCTTCTTCAGCATTAAAAAAAAAAAAAAAAAGAGGCACTGTATAGGTTTTAGGAAGAGATTTGGGGCCAAAGACAAAGGGCTGTACCGCAGAGCGGCTGACCTCCAAGGGCTGACCTCATCAAGGGCTGAGCCCCAGGAGCTGACCTCCAAGGATGACCTCTAAGGGCTGACCTCCAAGGATTGACCCCCAAGAGCTGACCCCCAAGGGCTGACCTCCAAGGGTTGACCTCCAAGGGTTGATTTCCAAGGGCTGAGTTCACCAAGGATTGACCTCCAAGACCTGACATCCAAAAGCCTCCAAGGGTTGACCTCCAAGAGCTGACCCCCAAGAGCTGACCTTCAAGGACTGACCTCCAAGGGCTGATTTCCAAGGGCTGAGTTCACCAAGGATTGACCTCCAAGAGCTGACCTACAAAGGCTGACCTCCAAGGGTTGACCTCCAAGGATTGACCTCCAAGAGCTGACCTCCAAGTTCTGACCCCCAAGGGCTGACCCCCAAGGGCTGACCTCCAAGGACTGACCTCCAAGGATTGACCTCCAAGGGCTGACCTCCAAAAGCTGACCTCCAAGGTCTGACTTCACCAAGGATTCACCCCCAAGGGCCGACCTCCAAAGGCTGCCAACACGCTTCTCCCACTACCTACAGCAGCCTTGCTTAATTACTGCTCCTTCATTATGCCCCGTGTGCCCCCAGCACACGGCAGCTCCCACTGGCAGCCACCTGGCACTGCCCAGCAGCCCCAGTGCGTGCCCCCAGCATCCCAAGGCCTCACTGATCTCCCGTGAGCCGCACCCTGCATGGAAATACATCCTCCATCCTTCGTCGCGGCCCTCAGCACGTGGGGCTCACACCACGACAGGCATGCTAAGGGCATCCATCACCCAGGAGTACCAGGAGCAGACACAGGGCGGTCCTGCGCCTCGTCCCAAGGCCACCCATCACCCGAGGCAGGGTGGGTGCCAATGGCCACATCCCACCCCGTCCCGCCCCACCGCACCGGGCCGCGTCGCACGGTACTTACTGAGGACGGCAAACCTGGAGGAACTTTCCGAACTTTCTTTGTCTGAACTTCTGCAAAGACAGAGAAAACGGCGTCCTGGTCAAGGCCGGCACGCCGCCAGCACGGCTCCTAGCGAGCGGGTCCGCCCTCAGCAGCGTGCCCAGCGCTCCCAGCGCCGCAGTGCCTCCACGCGGTGCCCACAGCCCACCCCAGCCAGGCCGCCAACCCCCCCGTGTGCACCCGCACGGGGCCCGGTGTTATCAGCTCGGCCGGCGGGAGGCGCTCACTCGCTCACTCACCCATGGAGGTGCTGTGCAGCGGCCGGCGGCGCGGGTTATTGCTGGAGTACTGGTAGTACTGGGAGCCCGGCTTGCTGGGGGACAGTGCCCCGGGGTTGCCGATGTCCATCTCCCCGGCCAGGAGACTTTGCTGAAGGACAGAAAGACAGAGGTGTGTGCGTGCCATGCGGGGCTGCCGTCAACATCCCTACCGACACCGCGGTCACGAAGCGCCCTCGGCCTGCCGACACGCAAACGTTGCCCACATCGCGACTCCCCATTCGGCGCCGCTTCTGGGAGGGAAGCACAACGCAGTTAATTGACAATGAGATTATTTGCATCCGGAGGAGACTTACTGCCCACTCATGCGAACGCAGCCGGCGCTGCACAAACTTTCGGAGCCCTGCTAAGCAATGCACTGGAAAGCAATCCGGTTTCCTCGCTGCGAACAAGACGTCAGAGGGACGGCTTCAGACACCACGAAGCTAAGAGCAGCGCAGCCCACCAGCTGGCAGAGCGGAGCGGGTGGCTCCGAGCGCGAGCGTGAGATGGCCTCGCTGCCCATCCCCAGCCCAGCCAAAGCGCACGCGGCACAGTCAGAGACCCCACGTTCTGCCGCGCAGATCGGCGGGCCGTGCCGGCGGTGTGCATCGCCCGCATCTCCGCGGTGCCGCCGAGGAGCCCTTCGGAGAGCCCCGAGCAACTCAAGCTACGGGCTGCCGAGGGCCGCCGTGCTCCCATCCGACGCCGTGCCGACACCCCGGCACACGCAGGCACATCTCAGCTCCAACGCGTCCCGCACCGCCCGCAGCTCCGCAGCTCAGCCCCGCCGCCCGCGCCATCGGAGCCCCTTCCCAGCGCCATTCCGTCCGCACGGCGCCCCGCACGCACCGCAGCACGTCGCCCACTGCCCCCGCGCCCCGCGCATTGTTCTCTGCGTGATCCCACGGCAGGAAGGCAGGTGTAGGCGCCGCCGTTTACGCGGAGGGCAAACGTACCGCTTAATAAAGAAATTTTAAAATTAAGCACCAAAAATCTAACTTTATCGTTACTTGTAATCAACTTTTACTGACTGAACTAATTACTGTACTTGATAAAGTACAGAATGTGTTTTCCCTAATCTAAATTCTAATCACCATGTCACTCACAACAGACTTAGTAATGCTTCACTAACACACTATTCACATGCAAAATACTCTAAATAGGCCAATTATGACTCTGCCCCTGTTCCCTGGTTAACCCGCTGAGAACTGAAAAATTTCACAAGGCAGTCACCAACTAAAACAAAGGCTCCTTGTCTTAAATTAAGGCAGTCTTTTTGATTCCTAAATAGCTCAACAAAGTGGCATGTCTTCTGCTGAAAGCAGTTGGTCAAATATGGCCCGCGAGCTGGAAAACCAGAAATTAAAACATCCTTCTTCTCTTTTGCCGCGCCTCCAAACACATCTCAGGGTAACTTTTGATTCGGGAAAGCGATATTACTTTTTTTCCCAGGTCAGCAAAACCGAAATGCGTGCGGAGGGACGGACGGACAGACGGACAGACGGACAGGCGCCGCATCCCGCGCCGCTGCTGGCACTGCTGCGCTGCCCAGCGCCCTGCCGGCCGTCACAGCCCATCGCCGAGCATCGCTCGCTCCGAGCTTCACCTCTCGCTCACGTCTGAGATACACCTGCAGCGACTCCGCTCCTCTCAGCACAACACCTGCGCCAGCAAAAATGGCTGCAGCTCCACCGCATCACGGCCAGACGGAGACGCAGAACTCCTGGAGAAAATGGCCATCCGCTCGCTGCCAGCGTCCTCCGGAAACGCACGGGGCTGACTGCGCGTCTCGGAGCGCTGCGGGATGAACCGCAGAAATCCCGCTCAGTCACACATTTCTATCACGTATACGTTTTAACATAAAGACAGACCTGCTAAATCTGTGCACGGCTGATCCATATGTCGGGGAGCCTCAGCCGCTCAAATCCCTGCACGCGGCCGCCCGGCTCTCACTGCACTGAAAGAAAAACTCCACAAGGCAGCGTTTGCAAACTATTGGAGATTAAACAAGATTCGCTTTCGGAGCAGAAAACACACACACACACACGATGTTGTTTTTGTTTCTCTCATCCCAACATTTTTCTCCACAAAGAGATGCAGAGGTTCCCACGGAAAGAGACCCGACGTGGAGCTATTCCACGGGAAGTGGCCGCAGGCACGGCCGCGCGGCCGCACGCCTTTGTTCATCCAGCAACCGAGCGCTTCTCGCTGCCACCAGTTGCACTTCACAATGCCCACTCGTCCCTCCCGAGCCGGCAGGTAGCCGCGGCAACGTGGGCTGCGGCACAGCCACCACCTGGCGTGGCACTGGGGCCGGGGATGCGGGCACACAGCGCAGCACCGCGCACCGCGGCCGTGCCCGGCCAGCAGCACCCCAGCACCCGGCGGCCCCACAGAGACCCTCGGACGGCACTCACACGTGGGCACGCTGAGTGCTGCGTGTGCTCCTCAGCACCGCCCGAAGCACGACGGACCCCGAGCAGAAAAGCGCCGTCCTCGGTGTGGGGCAGGATGCGGCGCGGCTCTGTTTCAGGGTAAAAAAAAAAGGTGGGTTTGTTGTGCACCTCACGAGCACTGTGCGGAGGAAAGCCCCGGTGCAAACACACAGGCACTCATCCCGAGGTGCTCGCAGGAAGAACAATGGGCACTCAGTGCTGCTCAGCCCGCACTGCCAGCGGCCTGCCACAAAGAGCAAGACAAAACACCGGCAGAGCGCAGGGCGTGCATCTCCAAAGCAGACCTTCGGTGTGGCACCAGCTGTGCAGCATCAAAGTTCCTATTTACCACGAAGAAAAGATGAGCTTAAAACCAGAGTGCCGCATTTGTCCGACTCCCTTCCGCTCTTCAGAGCGGGGCTCAGTGTGCCCGCACGTCCTGCGCAGGGCACCTCTGGTTGCAGCCGCGCAGCACAAAAGCCCTACAGATCCTTCAGCCCGGCGGTACAAATCCCACAGCACTCCGGCATGGCAGCGCATGCCGTGCTCGTCCTCGCAGACCTGCGCTGCCAGCAGCCCGCTCGTCTGATCACAAACACAGTGAATCACACACCGGATTTGCCAGCAGAACGTTAGCTGGGGCAAACGGCAACCGCAGGAGAAGATAAATGCGGCGCAGGGAGCCGCGCCGCGCTACTCCTCATCGCTGCCTCTGCCTCTGTGGCTGCTACAGCCCCGTCTCATCCCTCCTAACTGGTAAAACAAGTCGCTAACTGGGAGTCCTGCCTCCAACACGGAGATAACCAGACAAAGACTGACAGCCGCGCGGGAGGCAATACGCACACGGTACGGCAAAGTAATATCCGTACGGGTGTGGTATTACCCCTCCTGGAAAAAACAAATGCTGCTCAAGTTCTGCTTTTCAAACAGAAATCACCTCAATGCCAACAGCTGTTACATCCGAATATCTGCTCCGTGCCCACGGAGCTGGGAAACTGATTTTTAAAAGCAGTATTTCCTTTCCTACAGAAAGAGGTGAGACAGCGTACGACAGCGCTGCCTTTTGTTGCTGCAGCATTAATTCAGATTAAAGGTAAACGTCCTGGAAGCTCATAATCCAAAAGCCTCTGAAAACACTGATCGGGGAAAAATATTTCCAGAAAGGCCATTTTTTTTTTGCTGACAACCTACATATTTCCTCTTTTTTTTGCCATCTTTGTGCCAACCCGCGATCCGGAATCAAACACGGTACGCAGGGATGCGGCAGGGAAGAGGAAAACGGGAAGCGATGCACAGATGAAACTCTGCTGAGTGTTTGCCAGGTTGGCGTGCTGCTGGCGCCCAGCAGCCCTGCACAGCTGCAGCACAAGCAGCTCGAGCAGCACAGCTCTGCAGCACCCAGCAGGCACACCGCCGTCCTGCCCTGCCCTGTGTGCTCGCCTCCCAGCTCTTCCCACTTCTAAAGAGGGGATCCCGGCTGCCCGTTTTGCCCGCTCCGCACACGCCGCCGCCAGCTGCCCGCTGACCCACACGCTGCCTCTGACATCAAATCACGGTTTTCTCCAGAAAAAAAAGAGCACAAACAAAGTGCACTGCCTCCATCCTTGGCACTGAGAACCTACACACTGCACTGGTGTCCACCACGAGGACCTAAAGCCCCTCCGCTGGACCTCGCAGCATCTGTTCTGCCCCAAGTGTGCAAACAAAGCAGCTCGAGTTTGCTGAAATTCCCCCTAGTTCATGCATGCCGCGGCAGATGAATGGGCAGTCTTCTTTTCTTTCCTAAGCTAACAAATTCCTAAATGCCGCTGTCCTGTTTTCCTTCCCTCTTGCAAAACCGCAGGATGCAGGCTGGTGCCTCATCATCAGCTCTCCTCGGTGCCCTGCCCTCGGTCTATGAATTTTCACTTAAGCCGAGTTAACCAAGTAATGCTGCGTACACATCTGAATCATTCCTTGGTTATTTCCTTCTGTGATTTCAATCCTCTGTTTTTAATCAAATTATGAAACTAAATTTCCACTTATCATGTGACTATCGGGGCATCTGTTCATAATCTGTCCAATTCCTACAAATACTCCTTTCTTTAGCTTTTGGAAATTTGGCAGCTCTCTGCAAAATCTTCTCCGTGTCATTTGCGCCCAGTGTTTCTCTCTAATGCCAAGTGTAAATTGCAAACCACGGATGGCAAACAGAGGGAAACCATTTCCGTGGGTTTCGCCGGGAATGTTTTCAAGCAAAGGTACTGTTTTCCCTTTTTCTAAACCAACACTAATTCTGAGAAGTGTTTGCCGAAAATGTCTGACTTCAGAGGACAAAGGAACTTCTCGCACACAGACCCATTTTCCGCAGGGCTCTGCTTTCTCAGGAGCGCTCTGCGCGTACGAAGGGAGGGAGACCTCGGCGCCTTCATTTTCCTCCTCCGTCTGGCAGCACAAAACCTTTTGTTCCGCTCCCCCCACTTGCAGGGCAGCACCTCGGCTGCTCTGCTCCTCTTCTGGCTCTGACCTTTTCCATCAGGAAATGCTCGCAGGTAATACTGAGCAGTTCACCTTCAGCCAACCCTCGTGCACTGACGTCGCCGGTGTTCATTCTCTGCTTCTTTTTAATTTCTTCACTCTCTCCTCATCTGCGTCACCTAAAATCGCTCTTCAGCTTTACACCTTCCTCGGGTAA